ACACACACACACACACACACACACATGCTCTTAGGCAGAGACAGTAGTGATTAGAAGAAGTTACAGTTAAAAAGAGTAGAAGTGTTTTCCATTACATTACTCATTTTGAATTTCACACTGGTTTACTCACATTAATAGGATTGTATCTACATATGCAAACTTAGATTAAAAACAGTTCAAAACAGTATTCTTCCTCCTTCCTAGGGAGCTGTCCACGATGATTGGAGCAGAAAGGACGGACGGACTGAAGGACCAATAACGGGAGAGTTAAGTCTAAACCACGGCTTCTCCCCAACAGTTTTGGACCAATTAGATAGTAACACCTTTTCATATAAATATTGTATACCACTAAGTTGAGGTCAGTCTTTTCTGTTTTATCCTAAACAGTGAAGATCCATATGCACATGCTAATTTTGATACGTTAATGCATAATAAATTTCACACAGTGAAACTTATTAAGTCTTCTCTTTTCAATATAAAACGAACACGCCTCACACTAGCAATGATGTGAACTACGGATGTCTGGCTGGGACAAACTGTATTACAGAAGAGCTGAGAGAGGTTTTCACTCTTTACAGGGACAGCAGTCTTATCTCTCTCTCTTTCACTTTTATACAGTTTTCCTCTCTTTCTCTCTCCGAGTGATGTTACTACTCTATGCGACAGAGTGATGTATCAGATCAGACCTGCTGGGCTGAGCTGCAGTCAACTCCTATTAAAGATGTTACCATGGCACCTGACATTTGATCTACAGTGATAAACACACAGACAGTGCATGACAGCGCTCACAATGGAGGCATGAAGTTTGTAAAGAAATAAAGAAAAAGTAATGCACCACAATGAAAAGGACGTTGACAACAGCAGAATGAAACCGTGTTGAGGGGGTGCAGCTCTCATGATGCAGATAATTTCTTTAAGTTTCCACATAAACACAAAATCTCCACCAAGGCAAAACAGAATAATATTCTCCAGAGATTTCCGACTTTTATAATGTCTTGACTGTTTTATTACTGCAACAATGAAGTAACATTATGTCAATACGCTGCCTCAAATGAATTATTGATGCACTGAGGCTATGAATGTGCTAACCTTTTGCCAGCAGGAGCTTTCATGTGGACACACAAACACACATAGGCATATGTTCAGCCTAAGTACGTTTGATCAGTTTGGAAACACTGCAAACGCTGCAGGGCGTACACCCACCTAAACACACACACACCCACACACAATGTACCTAGCTCTTTCAGCAGGGAGCCGCTCTCTGACTTCCATCTCTCCTTTTTCTTCTCAGGACTATTCTTCCTTCTCTCCTTCCCTTTCTCCTTCACTCCATTTTGTTTCCTCTTTTCACCCTTTTGGGTTTTCTCTGCAGGGAGACAGAAGATGGCCTCAGGTTAAGGATTTAGTTGACTTATTCAATTTAAGCTTGGCTTAAGTGTGACTGAGCCTGGGGGAACTTCTTTCTTTCAGGTGGAATCCAAGTGACAAGGTAGCATAACTGTTAGTTACGGAAAGTTTTTCAGATTATTAGTTGGCTTTTTAGGAGATTCTTTCAGGTGATAGAAACACACCACAATCTCATTTCAGTTTTGCAATAAATAGATAAATACATTTAGATCAAAGCTTATAAGGAGCAGCCAGAGGAAGAAATAATGAAGGAAACAGTGTATAACAGTGGGAAAAGGCTCTGCTAAACCTTAATTTAAGGACTAAAGAAGTATAGCTTCCACACATGAATGATACACTCCTTGGACTGACTGTGTTATTGCACTGTTCGTGTTTTGAAACGTGTCGACAATAAGCTTGTGACCGGTACCTTTAAATCTGTTTAAATGTTTTGTGTTGAGGGAGTGCAGCCCAGTGCAACAGGCGTCACTGACCTGTGGGAGGTGCAGAATAACACAGCCCTCCTCAGACATGGATGACGTTATTAACTCCTAACTGGTAAGTCTCGTGGTTCTGCAGCAGGCTAGAAATAAAAGTTTTCAAAGCTGAACAAAAATGAGGGCGTCTTATCCCATCACAACAAGGTGATCATTATACTGAACTCAGGTCATATACTGTATCATTCACACACGGTTCAGATTTTTTCTTTGAAATGGAAATGAGCCAAATTACACAATTCTGTGCAGACTTTAAGGTTGTATTTAATACTGTCTTCTATTTTCCAGCTCAACACAATGTTTTATTGTCAATACAGGAGGAGACAGAACTTTGTGTTTGAAGCATTTGAACAAACTATTTGAATTTCTATGACTTTACATGAGTTCTGAGGAAATCGTTCTTCTCATGCTGCTGCTCTTTTCCACCATGCCTGCTTGTTAACTTGACTGAACTGAATCCTAGCGTATCATGCTGCAGCTGGTGTTTGTGTTCTCGCTCTGTCAGGGTCGACTGCTATTCAAGTTGGTCTGGCTGTTATTGGGTCTTTCCTTTTTAAGTTTAAACACAATGAGCACTGCTCAGCTGTGCACACCTAACACACACACACACACACACATATCTGCACACACAGCTGCACACATGAAAAAACTATGACCCAGGCACATGCATTCACACTCCGCATAAACCACCACTAGTGATGAACTCTCCCTCACTCTTTGACACAGGAAGCCTTATTGTTAGGATGTCTTGCTGTAACAGGCCCCTGCAGTTTACACAGACACAGAGTCCTGCCCGCAAGGCTCACTAACCCTCCTGCTGTAGTGTGTCATGTATGTGTGTATGTATGTGCAACGAGTTAACGCATTGGTACAGCAGGTGGCACCTGCAGGTTCATTATTGTTATGCTGGGTTTAGGGAAGCTGAATTGATTTGTTTGTGTGTGCGCCTCACTCCGCTGTCACTGTGAGGTAAAGCAGCAGACATGGATGACCTGCACCAACAGCTAGTTATGTACAGAGGTGCAGAGCTAAAAGCTAACACATATTGGTTTAACAAATAAACTAAGACATTTTCTGTCTGTCAGACATTTGAACACAAAGCACTGCTATGGTTGATGGGAACACCATTAATGTTGCAGGTATGTGGTTATAAGCCAAAGTACAGTGTTGGACAAATTAAAAGTTTGACTTGCTGAGCCGCCAGCACAACAGAATCTGCTGCATTATTTTGTGGCTGTTGTGTCACATATAGTCCAGATTCTTTTAAAATGGACTGTGCATTGTTCAGTACAGTGCACGCTGACCGTACATGTGTATGTGTGTGTGTGTGTGTGTGTGTCTGTCACCGCCAGCAGCAGGCTGTCCTCATGCTTGCTTTAGCATGGAGGAGTAGGACATGCATGAATGAAGCTGTGAGAGCAGAGAGAGAGTTCATACTGAGATGACCCTTGTTGTGTTTGTGTGTGTGCATTTTTCTATAGTTGTGTTTACAATTTTTTTTTAAACAATCATTGTGAGGACATCTGTAGCAGCCCCCACATCTCCAAAGATCGGTTCAAAGTCTTGGTTTAAGAGTTAGAATTAGGTTAGGTTAGGGGAAGGGGCTAGGGAAGGCCTTATGTCAGGGAGTGGCCTCACAAATATCAGAAGTGTGTGTGTCTGAACTGAGAGAAGAAGTGAGGAAAGAGAGAAAAGTTCAGCAAGAAAGAAAAGTCAAGGAAAAAGGAAAATATTTGTTAGCCTAAAAACTTCCCACTTTTGTTTTGCTTTCTAAAGTTCTGGCAGACTTTGTGCTCTACCTCTATTCAGAAATGAAAAGTGCAGTGGAAGAATCAACGACATGGAGACATTATGGAAACCGACAGCGTGCGTGATGACCGGAAGGATGAAACGGGATGGAATGAAATGTGAAAAGGGCAGATGAGTTGTACATTCAGGTCGATGACAGATCCATTTCCTGCTGGGAGGATGCTTGAAAATTCCTTCTTGTGAAAAGTTTTGTGGAGCAAAAAAACCCAACAATTTCTAAAACTTATAAATGTAATAATAAGCATGCACTGAAAACAGACACTGAAGAAAGAAGAAGTTCGAAGTTGGAAAGTTTTTTTTAAATGAAGTGTGAAGAGTTTGCATTTTTGTTCATCTGACAATAGTTAAACCTCTCAGTCACGAGTTTTGACAAAGACGAGATTTAATTTTTATATTTCTGTAAATCTTGAAATTAGAGTTGTGTCTAACACTACTCCACTTTTCACTTGTAGTATTGTTTCTTAAAGTAAAAAAGGTCAGCAGTTGGTTCTACTCTGATGTGACATCCTGATCGATATGAGATTTCTTTTTAAAGAAAGAATTAAGCTGTTTTCTCCAGGTACCACCTAAAATATTTGCTTCTCTACTTCCATCACAGCTACGCTCCAGAAACAAAGCTAACATCCTTACTGTCTCCTGTGCTCAAAGCCTGAATGGAGCTTTTTCACTTTTGTAAGAACTGTACAATATTAGGTGGAAAAAGCTTCATTTAAAGACAGCTCAGGTTTCACCTCTCCATGAGAGAAAATTGATATTCAACATAATAGAGATTTCTTTTCTGATCATGACAGAAATCATGTTTTATTTACATGACTCTGAATCCGTGCTCAAATCTAGCACGTGGAATCAGTATGAAGGTGGCAGGA